TATAGGAAGTCTTTCGTGTTCCCCTCAAGCCTTAGTAAATATAAAAGTTATGTTGTATCAATCAATTCCCTAATAACAATGGCCAGGGTCAGAACATGGCCCTTATGTAAAACAGTTTTAGTTTCGACAAGTGGGTGGGGGGTTGCTACAAAACTACAGTCCGGAAGGAAATAATCTTGGTGTGTGTGAAAACTTCCTGTGACATTAGTACCATAAGGGAAAGGTACTTGCTGGTTATCACCTGGACCATGTCTATGACAATGTTCTGGCATTTGGATTTCACATTCTGTTAACTGGTAAATAATGAGTCTTAGTGATAAAGCAAGGTGGAAGGAATTAAATAAAATGTAAATAGGTGGGGACTATAGGATGGGAGATGCATGCTGAAAGTATACTCTAGACCAAACATGATTGCCACTCAGTGCCTCTGTTGCAAACCACAGCACCCAAAAGGAGAGAGAGAACAGAAGGGAATTCCCTGCCACAGAGGCAGGATGGGATGGGGGCTTGGGGGGTGGGAGGGATACTGGGATTAGTGGTGGTCGAGAATGGGCACTGGTGGAAGGATGGGTACTCGATCATTGTATAACTGAAACCCAGGCACAAAATTTTGTAAGGCTACAACTGTACCGCATTGTGTTTCACTAACAAAAATTAAAAAAAAAATAGGTCGGGACTGGAGTAATAGCACAGTGGTAGGGTGTTTGCCTTGCACGTGGCCGACCCGGTTTCAATTCCCAGCATCCCATATGGTGCCCTGAGCACCACCAAGGGTAATTCCTGAGTGCAAAGCCAGGAGTAACCCTTGTGCAATGTCAGGTGTGACCCAAAAAGCAATAAAAATATTAAATAAATAGGTATAAAAATTGCATTTTGCTGGGTCAAGGCACACCATAGTTTCATTTGTCGCTGTGACTCTGGCTTGGCTCAGACGTCCTGGTTTGTGGGGGATCATGGCAGAGATTAACCACGATGCTGTGGAGAACTTTTCGACTCGGATAGACAGCCAAACCTTCATTCTTCAGGCCCTTCTGTGTTACATTTCGTGGAGCCACATCCCGCTGTGCTGTCCATATTTGGTGTCCAGGTCAGCCGCGTGTACGGAAGCACTTTACTTGCTGTAGCATATATGCAGTCCTTGTATTCAGGTTTCCATTCGATTTACACAAACATTGTGGATAAATGCTTTGAGATTTTTACTTTGGAAGCAGTAAAATCCTAACAATCTAATATTCCCCAGATTGGTAAACACCATGTAGATAAGTGCAAAAGGCCAAGCCAGGCTGCAGACTGACCAGTGTGGTTTGCTGCCTGTTAGCCCCTCCTTTCTGGGGGTTGGTCTATATGCTCTGTTTTATATACTTTAGTTTTGGTCAAAACCTGACAGTTCTTAAGAGTTACTCCTGGTGGTTCCCATGCTACCATTGGGGAATGTCAGGGAATGAACTCAGGTTGACCGAGTTCAAGGCAGTTGCCCAACACTCTGCACGACCCTTCTGGCCATGTACTCTTTTTTATTTTTGGGGGTCATACCTGTGATTTATAGGGGTTTCTCCTGGCTCTGCAATCAGGAATTACTCCTGGTGGTGCTCAGGGGACCATATAGGATTCTCGGAATCAAACTCATGTCAGCTGCATACAAGGCAAACGCCCTACCTACTGTGCTCTCACTCCAGCCACTGACCGCATACTCTTGGTTTGAAATCTTGTTTTTGAAACGGCCTCCTAGGGTTTTCCTTGTAGGCAAGTGTCCACTGCTCTTGTGTTGTTAAGGGGTAGAAGCCTTTGCTCCTGTTCCAGCGTCTCTCTGGCTCTCAGGGTTGTTACTAGATCAGTTCCTCTCTGCATCTGCAGGGCTGGCTACATAGTCACTGCTAATACAGGATTGGGGGACTTCTTCTTCCAGACCCCCACTTTGTTACCAGTCACTCTAGCCACCACCTCTTCACTCCTTTATGTGAGTTCATTCCACCTTCAGTACACTTTATTTTCTTTTCTTTTTGGGTCACACCCAGCGATGCTCAGGGGTTATTCCTGGCTCTGCACTATGAATTACTCCTGGCAGTGGTTGGGGGGGCCATAAAGGATGCCGGGGATTGAACCAGGGTCAGCTGCATGCAAGACTAATGTCCTGCCCACTGTGCTATTGCACTGGCCCAGCCAGCAGTACATATTTACCTGCATTGTTCTAGTGGTTTCCTGTGCACCTGGTGTCTGGTCCTTTAAGACCACTCGCAGAGGTGCAAGTGACGTCACAGCAGAGTTTTAAGGTTCTTGCTTCAGACACTGGATCAGGTGTCTATTTGTCACATGGGTGAAGGGAGCAGTGTCTGTCCTGCGTTGAAGGGGGTCTGTGAGGGCTGCTTTTGTGGTAGGGCACAAGCAGCCTCCCATTAGCGCCTGGCACCTGCCCATCTCGTCACTGTGAGAGTAGGGGCGATGCCAGATTGGGGGCACTTTCGCGCTTTCTTCCAGTCATTCCTGTGGTGCAGGGGTGATGTTTTGGGGACGTGGAGCTTTGGTGAGTTATAGCAGGAGCTGTACCGGGGCACAGGGGTCGAGGGTGTCAGTGTGTGATCCTGGGGATCCATTGTGGCCAGAGTCTCCTCCAGCTCTGGAAATGGGCAGTAGCAGATGGGCATGGGGATGAGCACAGTGGTAACAGAGAGAGGAGGGGAAGCGGGGGCGGTCTCGACCCTCCCAACACTGAGCTTCGCTGGGCCCTGTCCTGGATCCTTTGGTTCGACATCGTTGCTGTAGAACTTCCAGATTCACTTCGAGGATGGGAGTGATAGCACCACGGTTAGGGCGTTTGCTTTGCATGTGGCCCACCCAAGTCTGATCTCCAAGCTCCACCAGGACGGATTCCTGAGCGCAGAGCCAGAAGTTTCTCCTCCATATCCCTGGTGGAGCCTCCAAAAAAATAAAAGACCTGTTCATTTTTGAGGGACAGGGTGGCAGCTCCCCAAGGCAAACGACCCTGTAGCCCTGGGTCACTGTTCAGTAGTAGCCTTGATGTCCAGGGCCATCCTGGGGATGCAGCCCTAGGGATGGTTGTGGCTTGCAAATAAAAATTTGCTTTTGGGCTATTTTTGGTTGAATTTTGGGCAGATCTGTGGAAGATTGAGGCTTACTCCAGGAGCAGCACTATGGAATTATTTCTGTTGGTTCTTTAAGGTTAATATATTTCATATGTTTATTTAATACATTTCATATAGTTGATATAAATAAAATGATATATTTTAAATGTTTAATATAAGTAAAATATACATTTTCTATCCCTCTCGGAGAGCCCGGCAAGCTATAGAGAGTATCCTGCCTACACGACAGAGCCTGGCAAGCTCCCCATGGCATATTCAATATGCCAAAAACAGTAACAATAATGAGTCTCATTCCCCTGACCCTGAAAGAGCCTCCAATATGGCACCATTGGGAAGGATGAGTAAGGAGAGACTGCTAAAATCTCAAGGGTTGAATGGAGATGTTACTGGCGCCTGCTAGAGCAAATAGATGAACAATGGGATGACAGTGCTACAATGATACAGTGCTTTAGGGGTGATATGAGATTCCAAGGATTGATTTGGTTCAGCAAGGGAAGTGCCCCTCCCAGGTTACTGCCTTTCTGCCGCCACATTTCTTTTTCTAACATTAGAATTTCTGTATCCTAAAATCAAGTTGGGATGCAGCTTGACTCTTCACCTCTCCCTGATCAGGCTATCCCCAACTGTTATGCTGAGGTACTTAGAGTTGTTTTCAAGTAATGTAGCATGTGCGGAGTGCATTTGATGGCCATGATTCATCTCCCAACCCTGGCCGATGAAGGGTGACAGAGGATCGAAGAAGGAAACAGGGTTCAGGCTGTTGTGATCTGTTAGATTTTAACCCAAAGTGTTTCCGTCTTCATCTGTGAATTGCTGGTTTTCCTCCTTCCAGAGAAGCTTACATCCTTCCTTGTTAACATGCCTAATTTAGTTCACGTTTACCTTTTCTCTATATTTTACCTCTCATTGTCTCAGTTCCCCAAGTCACTCTTGATTACTGATAAGCCATAACTTTGTGGTATTTCTCAACTTTGTATTTGTACTGCTTTGTAGTTGAAGTGCTGTGTATTTGTACCTGCTTTTTTATTTCCCCTGTAGTCTTTTTATATTTTACTATAGATCAGTGCTCTTCGGTTAAACACAGAAAGACATCAGTCCAAGGCTTTGGGAGTTGATTGACTCTGAAATATATCTACTGCTGGGCATAATTTCTATGTCATACATACTTGACTTAGGCTTCAGTTGCTGTAGTTCCTAACGCCCCAAAAGGGGGTCCTGTCGTGGGAGTTGGATGGACCTGGAGAAAGTGGCAAAACTCCTCTGGCATTCAAATGGGACATTCTAGAAAGCAGAAATGCCTGGTCTTGATGCAAACTGTTACAGCTTAAGAGACAGGACCCCCATGGGGAAGGACAAGCTGAACTGGCCTGAGGGCTTAGTCTGGCCCTTTAAGGCTGCTTGCAGGACCGGAAGTGACATCAGAGTGGGGCCTTTGTGGTGCTTCTCTTCCTGGAAACGGGCTCAGGAGTCATTGTTCACGTGGCTAAAGGACAAACTAGGGTCCCAGGGAGGAAGCGAGACTCTGAAGGCCTGTTTTGTCTTACTGCAGGTCAGGGGTGGCCTCCCGTGAGCGCCCCATGCCTCCACATCTCCACACTGAGCTGTGGGACCGCGCCAGCTCAAGGGGCCTCTTGCACCTGTTTTTCTTGTGTTCCCCGATATCCAGTGGTTCAAAGGTATGATGGGGTCTTTTGGGGAGCGCGGAGCTTTGGGAGGTTCGTAAGGGCTGTAGTGGGAGGCGGGGGTTGCAGGTGTGAGTGCATTATACTGGGGGGGGCTGCAGTGGCTAAGGTCACCTTCAGCTCTGTGTTGGGGCAGCCACGGGTGGGTGTGGGGCTGAGCACGGGAGTTGCAGGCCTTGGGGTGCAGGAGCTGCCGAGAGTGGGGCCTTAGCCTTACCGAACCTCCCAGCTGACCCATGTTGGGATCTTGCACCAGTTTCGCTGCTGTAGAATCTCCAGATTCACTTTGAGGTGCAGAGCCTCGCCCCCCCCCCCCAAAGACTTGATACCCTGTTGTCGTCCAGCTTTTTCACTGGCTGCCCTCGTGGATCAGGCCTGGGCGGTGGATCTGCAGGTGGCCAGGGTTTGCCAATGATAATTTCATTTTGGGGCTACTTTTGGCATGAGGAATGGGGGGCTTTGCATTCCTGGAGATATCCTAAAGGCTTGCTCTGGCTCTGGCCTCAGATATTATTCCTGGCAGTGCTCTGGGGGCCCTGGGGACCCAGAAGATTGATTAGTGCCAGCAACGCAAGCATGCTAACAGGTTTACTGTATGTCGGAATAGGAATATCTGCTTCCTCACATCAAGTTGCAAAGTCCTGCCCAGACTGCTGGCTATCGAGGTGAGTATTGGTGGTAAAGGTTGTGTCTGTGTGCGCTTGTGTGTTCGTGCACTGCTGGTAAAAGTGTATGTCTGTAGAATTTTTTAAAAAAATTATTTATTTGCTTTTTGGGTCACACCCGGCGATGCAAGGGGTTACTCCTGGTTCTCCTCTCAAGAATTACTCCTGCGGTGCTCAGGGGACCATATGGGATGCTGGGAATCGAACCCAGGTCTGCCACTTGCAAAGCAAACGCCCTACCCACTGTTCTACTTCTCCATCCCCCCCATAGTGCAGAATGTGGCTCTATCACCGGCGGGGGGAGGCAGCCCTTCTGCTGGCCAGATGCACAGGATTTCCTGGTCTCAGAGTCCCTCCCTGGCTGGGCCTGTGGGACCAAGGCAGGGCTGACTTTTCTCTCTTGTAGCCAAGTCCAGAACTTGTGTCGCGAAAGGCAGCACAGATGCCAACACATTTTGCTTCACCTGGGGAGAAAGAAACATCAGGCAGTGTTCCCCAGGCGGGTCTCTGAGCCAGTGCCCGAGGGCGTGGCTGGTCAGAACTTGGGGATTTTACTCCTGTCCAGTTATCACAATTCTGACTTCTCCTCCAGGTCTCTGAACCTCTGGAAAAACAGGCAGGAGAAGATGATGAGGTGCCATCGGACACACCAACGCCAGGTAGGAGTGACAAAATGAGGTGAAGCAGTGACAGGAGCGTCAGGCTTGCCGGGCTGTCTGTCTCTGACTTGCTCAGGAAGGATCCTGCCGCCTTGTCAGAGCACCTGGCTATCTGCAGTATGAGGGCACATTTGTGTCAGTTTTGTTGTATTTGGCTTTTGGACCACAACAGCTCAAAGATTACTGGTGCTCAAGGATGACTTCTGACATGTCTCAGGGACCATATGGGGTTCTGGGCATCAAAGGCTGGTGTCTGGGTATTTCGTTTTGTTTTCAGAGCCACACGCAGTTATTCTGGGGTTTATACTCTTGTCTCTGCACTCTGGCATTGTACCTGGATTCTGGTGATTATACTCTTGTCTCTGCACTCTGGCATTGTACCTGGGACTGCTTAGGGGACCCTATGGGATGGCGGGGATCACCAGCCCTACCAACTATCCCCATCCCACTGTCCTGTTACACAGTCATGCTGCTTTGTTTCTTTTCGTATTTAGTTTTGCGACAGGGGAGATGCTCAGGGCTTCCTCTTGGCTCTGTGCCTGATGTGCATCATGGGTCCCCGGGTGTGCTACACCTGTTTGTGCGCTTGCAGCTCAAGTGACTGTGGGATACAAGGGGTGTATGTTTAGTGTTTTGACCTGAAAGCAGGGTCACTCATTTGGTTCCCAGTGATTGTGTGCTCAGTTTTTACTCGCTGCAGTGCTCATAGGAGCAGTGGTGGAATTCCCTGACATCAGGAGCAAGTCTGCCACCTTCAGGAACCTTCTAGTAGAGCATCCTCACATTTTCATAGATGCAGCTGTCTTTGAAGTTGGGACCCGTTTGCCAGTAGTTCAGATGGAGGCTGGTTCCTCCCGAGGGGACAGACCGTGAGCCCCTCCAGGGCCCTGGGGTCCTGACCTCACAGTCCAGGGAACAGGGTGGGGTCAGACCCTGACTCCTGCCCCCTTTTTATGCCAGTTCAGGACACGGTGACCTTCCCCGACGTGGCCGTGCTCTTCACCCCAGAGGAGTGGGCGTGCTTGGATGCTTCTCAAAGAAAGCTATACAAGGATGTGATGCTGGAGAACTACCAGCACCTGTGGGCCATTGGTGAGAGCAGTGCGGGGCCGACCTTGTCTGGACATACCCATGTGGGCTCCCTGTGCTGGGCTGTGACTGTGTGTCCAACAGTAGCTGTGACTGTCCTGGGGAGGACAGCCATGCAGTAGCTGTTTCTCTAGCTCCTTCCCTGGTTTTCTTGTTGGTGCCCACCTGGCGATGCTCAGGGCTTACTCTAAGCTCTTCCATAGGAATCACTCTCTGTGGGTTTGCATGAATCTGCAGTTCTGGCTTTCAACCTAGGTTAGCCCCATGCATGGCAAGCTCCCCACGTGTTGTAACCGTCGCTCAGGTCTCTCTAAAAAGTTCCTGGTTCCTGCCAATGCTGAGTTCTCTGATCACTTCTTGTACTACATATAATTTCTAGTATTTGTTTTGGTTTTGTTTTTCTTTGGGGCACAACCTAATCCTCTTGTCTCTGTGCTGAGGGATCACTCCCAGGGGTTCTCAGGGGCCATGGGATTCTGAGGATTGAACACACTTGGCAGCTTAAAAGGTTGCTGTCTTAATCCCGGTACTATTGCATCAGGCCCACAATTTCAGTTTGTGGTAGGGTGTTTGCCTTGCACGCAGCAAACATGGCCGACCCGAGTTCGATTCCTCCGCCCTTCTCGGAGATTCCGGCAAGCTACCGAGAGTATCTCGCCCACATGGCAGAGCCTGGCAAGCTCCCCGTGACGTATTCGATATGCCAAACACAGTAACAACAAAGTCTCCAAAGGAGACATTACTGGGCCCACTCGAGCAAATCGATGATCAACGGGAGGGCCTTTACCTTTTCATTTTTATTTGTATTATTTTATTTTTATTTTTTACAATTTTTATTAGTGAAACACCATGAGGAACAGTTGTAGACTTAAAAAAATTTTGTGCTTAGCTTTCAGTTATACAGTGATTGAGTACCCATCCCTCCAACAATGCCCATTCTTCACCACCCCTAATCCCAGTGTCCCTCCCACCCCCCACCCCCTGCCCAACCTGCCTCTGTGGCAGGGCATTCCCTTTTATTTTGTTTTGATTTGGTTTGGGGTTATACTTACAAATACTTAGGGATTATTTCTGGCTGAATATTCAGTTATTCATCCTGGTTGTGGTCCGGGACATTGTGTGCTGCTGGGAATCAATCCTGAACGTGTGTGTATTGTCTGTTTCCTGCCTGCTGTAATATTGCTCCCAACATAGCTCATTTATTTCTTAGGGTCTCACCCCATCTGTTGTTGCTCTATTTCAGTGCTCGTGGTCACTTCCGGTGGTTCTTGGTTCATCAGGAGTCAGGATTTGCCTCTTGATTATGCAGTCAGGGTTCACATCTGATGGCTTGAGAGACCCTACTGAATGTCAGGATCGAACTTTAATTGACCTTGAGGAAGGCCCATTCCTGACCTGCTGTGCTGTCTGTCTGCTTCCTTTTATATGTTTATTTTTAAAACCAATTTGGGGCTTTCGTCATCTTTGGCCATGTTTGGATTTGGTAATCTTTGGGGCTTACTACACTGAGGCATCAGTTCACGCAGGCTCAGTACATTGCATGTGATGCCAAGCCAAGAGTGACAGTTTCTTGTCTTGCAAGTTCTGGACATGTGTTTTATTCTCTCCATCCCAGGTGATCCTCAAGCAACATAAAAGTTGATTTCTGAGTACACAATGAGCGAGAGGCCTTGAACATCCCCAGCTGAGGATCCCAAACTAGAGAAAAACTAGAGAAAAAAATACTATGTATTGTGCTGTGATCAAATCCCTGTTGGCCCTTTAAGACCCGGGCTATACTATTTGTCGTGTTTTCTGGGGCCTCATATTAAACTCTTAAATTAAGTCCTGAATCTTAGCTCTTGGATAACTCCAAATCTGGATCATTTTAGAAGTGCAGATTCTGTTCATGCCTTTCCAGTAATTGACTCAATTTTTATAGGGACACATGGGGTTTTCTTGTCATGTTTTCCTTGTCACTAATCCATGCTCCATCTCTGTGAGGTTCAGGGTATTCTGGGGTGAAGCCTGCAGTGATCATCTGGCTGGAAGGAGGAACCCTGAAGCTGGGGAGGAGAGGCATGTGTGCAGGTGAGTGTCTGAGAACCCTCCCTGGCTCAGGCCCTGGGCAGTGTGTGGGTGCCCTGAGCACATGTGAAATGCGCTGTTGACCCTGATATCCTTGGGTTCCTGGATCCAGGCATCTGTGCTGCATTCACGCTGCCCTTCGCTCCCACGAATTGTCACAGAATAATCTTTTGCTATACTTTCTTGGCTTTGACAGTATTTTTCCTCTTCTGGCAGTCCATGAAATTCTCACTTCTTGGTCCCCCTGTCTTTCCCTTACCAGCCTGTCTGTACAGCCTATAATGTCGCTGTATCTTGAAATTTTTTTTTTGCCTTTTTGTTTAGTTAATAAGTGAAGCCATAATGAAGCTGTTTTGGCTCTGAGTGATAGTAATGCAGGAAATACGCTTGTCCTGCACACTGTCCACCTGGTTCAATAACCAGCATCCCATATAGTTCCCTGAGCATCACTGCGTATGTTCAACAAACAAAAAAGAAAAAAATATATCTTTTGGGATTGCCAAACTTTTCACAGCAATCCTCCCCGGGACCTTCCCTGTTCTGTGGGATACTTTGGACTGTGAGTACCATAGAGATATCCTGAAGCTGTACTGCCTGGTTAAGGATGTTTCATTCGAAGAGTTCTTACATTGTATATTGTGTTTGGTTTCAGAACTCAAAGCACGGCTTCAGGATTTGGGAACTCAGTTAGTGAGTATGAGTGAGTTGCTAAGATTTGCAAGTTTGGAAATAATATTATAATCACAATCACAGTCACAACCATCCTGTTATTCGTCGATTGCATCGAGCAGGCCCCAGTAACGTCTCCTTCGTCCTAGCCCTGAGATTTTTTTAAAAAGTGCCATATTAAAGGATCTTTCAGAGTTAGGAGAATGAGACCCTTCATTGTTACTGGTATTTGGCATATTGTGTACACGCACGGGGAGTTTGCCAGACTCTGCCGTGTGAGCTGGTTACATTCGGTAGCCTGACAGTTTGTCCAAAGTAGGAATGAGATAATATGATGTCATTATTATGATACTAATTATTAGTATTATACTACTAACGGAAAATGTCAGTGGACCAGCATGTTACTTTTAAAGTGCAGGGCCAGGAATGGCCGGAAGGAAATTCATAGTATGATGCTTGAGGTCCAGGACCCTTATGTTCACTGGGTGCTGACATCTCTGCTCAAAACCTAAAAAAATTGTAATATGTTTCATGTAAATGCCGTGCTTTTTCATTTGATTTAACAAATTAATGGCCCCACATTCATCAATTTTCCATGTGTGTCTTACAGAAACATTAGGTTAGTCCATGGTAATGCCATCCACCGGTAGGGAATTGCATTGGTGTGGTACAAATGTTAGAAACCAATCTGCAGGTATCAATTTCATGTAACATGGAGACTCTTAAGGAATAGAACGATAATTGGAATCTTCTGCTGTTCTACAGGGAAGCAGCCAGCCCGAGTGGAATGTCTTTGACCCTTCACACTGTGAAAAAGTCTCGAGTGTGCATTTGTGCCCTCAGCCACACGGGGATGCCAAGGCAGGCAGGATAGCCTCTGAGGGTGATCAGAATGGAGAGAGCAACCTCACTCTGAAGAATCCCTCCCGTGGGAAAAGGTTCACACAGTCTTTTATTCTCAGACCATGGACACAAACCGCAACATTGGGGCAGACCCTAGAATATGGGAGAGAAGCACTGTTTATAGTGAGTCCTTCACACCGAAAGGCCCACAAGCAGTGTCACCATGGATTGACGCTGTCCAAGAGTAAGGAATATGGGGGAGCTTCCCCATGTTCCCAGGACCATGATGTTCCCTTACAAACCCACAGTGGAGAGAATCCCCAGGAGTGTCAGCAGCAAGATCGTGGTTTGAATCCGGCATTACCGCAATGTGATGACATGAACATCCACAAAGGAGGGAAACCGCATACATGTAAGGACTGTGCGAAGACCTTCACTCGACCCTCAGACCTCTTAAAACATTGTAGAATCCATACTGGAAAGAAAGCATATGTGTGTGAGCAATGTGGGAAGGTCTTTGGTTATTCCTCACACCTTTCTAAACACAGGAAAATTCATACTGGAGAGAAACCTCATAAATATAAGGCACGTGGAAAGGCCTTCACTCGATCCTCAACCCTCACCGGGCATATGAAAACTCATACTGAAGAGAGGCCTTATATATGTAAGGAGTGTGGGAAGGCGTTTACTTATTCCTCAAACCTTAGTCGGCATATAAGAATTCACAAAGGAGAGCAGCCTTATGGATATAAGCTATGTGGAAAGGCCTTCTAGTGTCCTCAACCCTTTCTCGGCATATGAGAATTCACAATGGAGAGAAGCCTTATGGATGCAAGGTATGTGGAAAGGCCTTTGTTAATTCCTCAAGACTTACCTACCATATGAGAATTCACACTGGAGAGAGACCATTTGTTTGTAATGAATGTGGGAAGGCCTTTGTTGTATCCTCAGGCCTTACTCGACATATGAGAATTCACAATGGAGAGAAGCCTTATGGATGTAAGGTATGTGGAAAGACCTTTGTGGAATCCGCAAATCTCATTCAACATATGCGAAAGCACACTGGAGAGAAGCCTTACGGGTGTAAGGTATGTGGAAAGGCCTTTGTTGAATCCTCAAGCTTTACTCGTCATATGGGAAATCACACTAGAGAGAGACCATATGTTTGTAAGGAATGTGGGAAGGCCTTTGTTGTATCCTCAGGCCTTACTCGACATATGAGAATTCACAATGGAGAGAAGCCTTATGGATGCAAGATATGTGGAAAGGCCTTTGTTAATTCCTCAAGACTTACCTACCATATGAGAATTCACACTGGAGAGAGACCATATGTTTGTAAGGAATGTGGGAAGGCCTTTGTTGTATCCTCAGGCCTTACTCGATATATGAGAATTCACAATGGAGAGAAGCCTTATGGATGTAAGGTATGTGGAAAGACCTTTGTGGAATCCGCAAACCTCATTCGGCATATGCGAAAGCACACTGGAGAGAAGTCTTATGGGTGTAAGGTATGTGGAAAGGCCTTTGTTGAATCCTCAAGCTTTACTCGTCATATGGGAAATCACACTGGAGAGAGACCATATGTTTGTAAGGAATGTGGGAAGGCCTTTGTTGTATCCTCAGGCCTTACTCGACATATGAAAATTCACAATGGAGAGAAGCCTTATGGATGTAAGGTATGTGGAAAGGCCTTTGTGGAATCCGCACGCCTTATTCGGCATATGCGAAAGCACACTGGAGAGAGACCTTATGTTTGTAAGGAGTGTGGGAAGGCCTTTGTTTCTGCCTCAAATCGTAATTGTCATGTGAGAATTCACACCGGAGAGAGACCATTTGTTTGTAAGGAATGTGGGAGGGCCTTCCGTCTGGCCTCCGACCTATATGTACATAGGGCAGTTCACACTGGGGTGAGATCTTATATATGTCAAGAATGTGGGAAGGCCTTTGTGTTTCATTCTGGTCTTAGGAAACATCGTAAAATTCATATTAAATAACTCAATGCCATAATAACAATTGTTAATGTCAAAACAGGCCCCTTTGGGAAAGTGTCTTTTCTTTGTACCGTGGGATGCTGTGCTACAAAAGTGCAGCCAGGACGGAAATAATCCCTTAGTGTGTAACAAACTTTCTGTGATGTCAGTCTATAAGGGAAAGTCTATGCCAAGGACCTCGAATTTGAACTTGATGTTAACATGTACTTTTCACATTTCTTGTGAAAGCTAAGAGGAATGTGAATAAAAATGCAAAATAAATCCCCTTTGCTTAGGGCTGTCAAGGTCAAGAGTGGCCGAGATTAGTACCAGGAATTTTGCTGCATGGCTTGGAGGCCAGCCACACATGCTAGGGGAAAAGGCAGCCCAGGCAGAGAAGGGAGCGCCAAATAATGGGTGTTGGGAGGATCGTCCCAGGATGGGAGAAGCATGCTGAAAGTAGACTATAGACCAAACATGATTGCCACTCAATGCCTCTTTTGCAAACCACAATACCCAAAAGGAGAGAGAGAACAAAAGAGAATGCCCATACACAGAGGCAGGGTGGGATATGAGGAGATGGGGGTGGGAGGGATACAGGGATCCGTGGTGGTGGGAAATGGGCACTGGTTGAGGGATGGTATTTCGTCATTGTATACTTGAAACCCAAGCACAAAAATTTGTAAGTCTACTACTGTACCTCATGCTGTCTCACTAATTAAAATTTTAAAAAAATGAATAGAAAGGCAAAAATCAGTTCGCTCAGGGCTGTCAAGGCTCACCACTGTCTTATGATTTGTTGTGACTCTGGCTTGACATTTTTTTTTGCTTTTTGGTTCACACCCAGCGATGCTCTGGGGTTACTCCTGCCTCCAAATCAGTAGTTACTCCTGGCGGTTCCTGATGACCATATTGGATAGCAGGGATTGAAACTGAGTTGCCCCGTGCAAGGAAAAAGCTCTCCCCTCTGGACTATTGCTCCAGACCCTGTGACTTGCCTTTGAGGCCCTGGGTTTGGGGGATTATGGCAGAAAACCGGCCACACCTTCATTCTTCAGGGCCTCTTGATTCATGTTCTTTGAAGCCACACCCAGCTGAGTCCTACTCATCGCTCTCAGCTCAGTCATCCATACCTGGGGGACTCGGGATCATTATTGGGTACTGTGGTTTGAATCCAGGTGGGCTGTGTCACCACCTTCTTCCCCCATGTCATTTCTGCCTCCCAGGTGTTCAGGTACTGGTTAGCGTTGTATCAGTATTAAGGATAAATGTTTCAGAAAGTGTTATCTTAGTTAAATGGCCCTGGCAATGTTCTTTAGTGGAGTGCCATGAAGGCGGTTTTTTTTTTTTAATTTTAAGCTTTGTTTTTCCAGTCTTGGGGGGTCATACTCAGGGATTACTCCTGGTGGTGCTCTGGGAACCCTGTTAAAGCTGGTGCAAGCCAAAGTCATATCTGTTGTACCTATTCTTTGGCCCCTATTGGAAACAGTTTAAATCATTACTGTGTTTAGAAAGATATACGAAATGATGGAAGGGGCCTCTTGAATCAAATGTCTGACAAGTGCTGGGAATATGGGTCAACTCCCCACAAACCAACAGGCCATTCTGTTTACTTGTGATTTTTCACAAGGTTGGTCGTGTTCCCCAAGAGTTCAATAATAATACAGAAAAAAAGTAAGTGTTATATTTAGAATTAGCAATTAGTCACTGCTATCACCGCATCTTGATTACTTCCCCAAGATACTCAGTATCCGGTGAATTGTAGCAACCTTCCTGTTTTACCTTGAATCAACCCAGCTGCGTTTTCCCTGATGGACTGTGTGTCAGAGCATCGGGTCATTGTTTGAACAGTACAGGATCAGGGGTCTTCGTATCCCCAGCCTCCCACTGTGTTGCCTACCACTCTCCACAGCTGACTCTCCACACCTTTGTTCCGTCCATCCCCCTTGAAGCACACATTCACCTGGGCGGGCAAAAAGGGTCTCTGCATCTGGACCAGGGCCCTTTAAGGCTCAAGTTCCGGCAGCAGTGGAAGTGGCGTCCCAGGCCAGGGACCGTTGGATATTTTTTCTCTTCCCATTGTGGTTGCCTGACTCAGGCCGCCATTGGTCTCATGGTAGAGGAGGAAATGGCGGCCCTTCTCGGAAAGTGGACTGTGAAGACCTATTTTTGTCAGGACGCGAGTGGCGGTTCGTGAGCGCCCAGTCCCTCCCATTCTCTGCCCTGAAAGAGCCGGGGCGCTCCAGCTTGAGGGGCAGGCCCTTTTGTGCTTGTTCACTGCTCGCATGTTCTCAGTCATAGACTGTTGACTGGACAGTGTTCTCTGATGTTCCTACGAGCCTTTGCTCCTGTTCCACCATTTCTCCAGCACTCTGGGCTACTGCTAGGCCAATACCTCTCTGCTCTTGTTCTGGCTTGGAGTCACTGCTTTCATCCTACCTTGATTGATTATTTCCTGGAGAAACTCATTGTCCCATGCACCACCTGCTCTCTATTGCCTGTTTTACTTTGCGATTTTCATGATGCACTGTGTGTGAAAGCATTGGCTCATTGTTTCCCCAGTACGAGACCAGGGGATTCTTACCCATCACTAGCCCTCCACTGTGATGCTGTAGGCCAGTACAGGAGCTGCCTCTCCACCCCTTTGTGTGTGTGAATCGGTCCCCCTTTCACGACAGATTCTCCTGGTTTGGCATAATGGTTCTCTCCACATCTGGAGTCTGGCTCTTTAAGGCTGCTTGCGGAAACAGAGTGACATCACAGGAAGCCCTCCCTGGTGCTTCTATTCCTGGAAACTGGGTCAGTGTCATTGTTCATGTGGGTAAAGGACAGAGTCGGGCCCCTGTGAGGAAGTGGGACTCTGGAGGCTGACTCTTTGGCAGAACAGGGGTGATCTCCTGTGAGCGGCTGGCGGTTCCCCGTCTCCACACTGAGCTGTGGCTCCTTGTCAGCTGGGGGCACTTTTGCACTTGTTTTTCACTTATCCCTGATATCAGGTGATTCCTGAGGCGAGGCGGATCTCTGACAGGGTGCAGGGGAGGAGGATGTGAGTGAATGATCCTGGGTCAGGATCGCCTACAGCTCTGTGATGGAGCATCGGAGTGTGGGTACTGGGCTGAGCACAGGGGCTGTGGGTATTACGGGTGAGGGACCTGCGAAGGGCAAGGGCTTAGCCATCCTGACATTCAGCTGACCTACATTGGGACCTTGACCCCAGTCTCACTGCTGTAAAATCTCCAGATTCACTTTGGGCAGAGTTGCAGCTCCTGCAATTGTAAGAGATCCTATTACCCTCCGGCTTTTTCAATGGCTTCCGTGGTATGATGGGGCCACCTGGAGCAGTGGATCTGAAGGTGACTGGGGTTTTAGTTTCCTTTGGGGGTTATTTTTGGTGTGGGGAATTGGGGGATCTACATGTGTGAAGATACCCTGAGGGCTTACTCTGACTCCTGGCTCAAGTATTTTGCCTGGAGTACTCTGGGGGCCATAGGGATGCATAGGGATGCAGGGGATTGACTGGTGTCAACAAGCAAACATCCTATTAGTTTTAGAGTCTGGCGGAACAGGAATTTCTGCTTCTTCACATCACGTTGCAAAGCCCTGTGTATACCTATATCTATTTAGGTGAGTACCTGGGGTAAAGGGTGTGTGTGTGTGTGTGTGTGTGTGTGTGTGTGTGTGTGTGTGTATGTGTAGAAAGTGGTTTTTTTAAGAGGACAAGGGCTGTCTCCGTGATAGAGCCACTATTCTGGGCTATGGTTGTGCGGGGCAGCCCTGCTGCCAGCCTGCAGGGGGCGCTGATGCACATGATCTGCCATCCAAGTCAGTGCCTGGCTGTGCCTGTGAGAACCTTCTTTGGGACCCAGGGAGAAGTCCTCAGGCCAAGGCAGGGCTGAGTTTTCTCCCTTGTAACCAAACACAGAGCTTGTGTTGTGAAAGGCAGCACAGATGCCAACCCATTTTGCCTCCCCTGATAGACTCAAGCATTAGGCAGTGTCCTCTAGGTGTGTCTGTGAGCCAGTGCCCTGGTCAGGCCTGGGGGTTGTGCTCCTCTCCAGTGCTCACTGCTCTGACTCTTCTTCCAGGTCTCTGATCCTCAAAAAAATCAGTCAGGACTACATGGTGACATGCCATCGGATATCCCATCTCTAGGTAGGAAGAGAGTGACAAGATAAGGTGATGCAGAGACAGGAGCGCTCAGTCGTCTTGGGCCAAATGTCTCTGAGTTGTTTAAGGAAGGATCCTGTATTGTGCCTCCTTGGTGGAGGGCCCGATACTTTCCTTATGAGGCTATGTTTATTTCAGTTGTATTGTATTTGGCTTTTGAACCACACCCAATGTAAAGAGTTCTCATACCTTAGTGCTTAAGGATGACCCCTGACATGTCTCAGGGACCATATGGGATGCTGGGGGATGAAGACTTGCGTCTGGGTATTTTGTTTTGTTTGGAGGGCTACACCCAGTGATTCTAGGGATTATTCTTGGTTCTGAACTGTGGCGTTGCACCTGGCAGTGCTTGGGGGACCATATGGGAAGATTGGGTTCACAGCCCGGCCTTCTGTTCTATTACTTCATCCTGCTAATTTATTTTCTTTCCTGTTTATTTTTCTGCCACAGTGGAGGTGCACAGGCCTTGTTTTCTCTGTGCTCTGGATTCCCACCTGATGCACATCACAGGTCCCCCAAGTGTGCTGGCCCGTTTTCACCCTGTCAATTGCAGTGACTAGGATCCCAGGACATGTGTTTCCCCTATTTTGTCCTTTCTGATCTGACGAGCGTTGCCTGCTTGGTCACACAGTCCCACATTCAGTCGCTTCTCTGTTTGCAGTTCTGGGCACACGCCGTCTTTTGAGTCCCACCCAGAAATACTCAGGGATTATTCCTGGTGGTGCTCTGGGAGCCTGTTAAAGGTAAAGCAAGAGGAATGTCCTCCCTACTCTCCTACCTCTTTGGCCCCTACGGGAAACTGTTTAAATGAACTTTACTGTGTGTAGAAAGACATTTGAAAGGATAGAAGGGGCCCCTTGATTCAAATGTCTGACAAATGTTGGGAATATGGTTCAGTTCCCCACATCCCAGCACTCCCCAGGCTCCTCACATCCCAGCCCGCCCTTCCATTTACCTGTGATTACTCACAAGGTTCGTCAAGTTCTTGGATTCCACCCGTGAGTTCAATAATATCAGAGAAAAAGAATAAGCATTGTATTTGGAATTAGCAAATTTCCATCAATCTAGTAGTCACCAGAATGTTAAAAAGGATTCAGATCTGTTTAAAGGCCAAAAAAGGCTCCAAAGTAGGGTCAGAAAATATACTCTAGGTTTTTATGTGTACAGGCTGGAGCGATAGCACAGTGGTAGGGCGTTTGCATTGCACGCAGCCAACATGGCCGACCCGAGTTCGATTCCTCCGCCCCTCTCGGAGAGCCCAGCAAGCTACTGAGAGTATCTCGCCCGCACGGCAGAGCCTGGCAAGCTCCCCTGACGTATTCGATATGCCAGACACAGTAACAACAAAAGTCTACAATGGAGACGTTACTGGGCCCGCTCGAGCAAATCGATGATCAACGGGAGGGCCTTTACTTACTTACTTACTTTTATGTGTCCATACATGTATATAGATATAAATTTGATATATATATATATAATTTATATGATTTTATTATGTATAATACATATACTTCATATATTATATATGCATATTTTAAAACAACTGTCCTCCCATTGTTCATCCGTTCTGCTAGAGCGGGCCCAGTAACATCTCCATTTTGAGACTTCTTGTTACTGTGTTTGGCATACCGAATATGCCATGGGTAGCTTGCCAGGCTTTGCTGTGCAGACGAGATACTCTCGGTAGCTTGCCAGGCTATCCAAGAGGGGCGGAGGAATCGAACCTGGCTTGGCCGGACTGGCTGCGTGCAAGGCAAATGCCCTACTGCTGTGCTATCACTCCATATATATGTATGTATGTTTGTTGGTGGTACACACCTGGCAGTGTGCAGGGTTTACTCCTGGATTTTACTTTGATGGTGCTCAGGGGACCATTTGAAATTCTGAAAATTGAACTCAGATTGACCATATACAAGGCAACCGTCCACCCCACTGTACTACCCCTCTTGTTCATATTCTGGATTTGAAATTGGGTTTCTCAAACTGCATCCGGTGTTTTTTCTTGTAGGCAAGAGTCCACTGGTCAGGCGTTTTCAACAGATAGCGTGTTGGCTGGACAGTGCTCTTTGATGGTCTTACGAGGCTTTTCCCCTTT